TTTCTGCTTAGCAATCTGTGGTAAATCATGATTAATAATGCAGGGCCCATTGTTTCTAGTTTCATGTGAATGTAAAAATAATTTATTTTTTACTCTTTATTTAGTGTGTTATGCTGTTTTGAAGTTTACTAAGCTATGTATATATCACTGTGTACTTTATTTCAGATAAACTAATTCTTTCAGAAGTTAGTTGAAGTTTAACCAGAAAGTTCATATCATATGAAAAACAGACAGAGATTTAGAAGTTAAGCATCTGGCCCAGTGTCATGTGGCTAATAAACAACCAATATTGCCATTGCAAACCAGTTAGAGATCACTGAATTTCTCTGACCTACTCACATTTTCCTCTGGGAGTATCTGTCCTGGCCCTCACTCTTTTCTTTTCTTTTTTAACCCTTTTGTATTGCTGAATTTTTTTCTGAAAAGGGAAGTTTGATTTTAACAGACCCCATTTGGAACAACTGTTTCTTTACAAATATGTGTAACATTGGTTGAGTTTTCAGTATTTCTTTGCAGATATTCTTACCATAATTGAACTTCCCGAAGTCTTTCAAACAGGGTACTCTATTCTCATCCATTTATATAATTCCTAAAAGAATTAAACGATAACTTCTTCCAAATTGTCAGTGTTAACTATGCCTTTGTTATTACTTTTCATACTTAGTTTCCAACCTATGTTATATCATTACGTCAAGTGCTTGTCAAGAGTCATGGGAAGAAGTCTCCTCCTTTGTGGATTTCTCTGTGGAAACAGAGAGTTAAAAGGAAGGTCAATCTCTTGACCCCACGAATCTCTTATCCCAGTACAACTAAGTCACTCTGTAAATGAGGGATTTGTGGACTCTTGGTTTTCATCAAATCCTATGCTGATTCATCCTTTTGAAAATAAAACCCTATTTCTATCTCAGAGTTTGTGCATAGATTCTGAAATTGATCTGTTTGAAATGTTCCTTTTTAGAGATTTCTTTTGTAATTTAAGGGAAGTTTAAATACTGCAAGGTTGAAGACATTGGCAATGATCAAAAATAGCTGCATTGTGTTAGCAAGATGTGTTATTTCCCTAGAGGCTGAAACTGTTTAAAATGTAAAAATGAAATAGAGTTAGTTCTGTAGAGTCAGGCAGATAATAACAAGCCATTTTAATCATTTTCAAAAACTTAGCCTTCAGCATTCTTGTCCTCTTATTACTCTAATAGCTTAGGCTTCCTTGGGGCTGTTGCATGGGGGCAAATCTGCCTTTAAAGGCTGCAAATGTGCATTGAGCCATGCACCTCTGCACTTTACAGACTGGGGTGATGGGAGTCATAAGCTGACTTTGACACAATTTGACAAAATTAGTGGAATGTTATTAGCCTTTTATTTGATCTACAGGTTTGATTTGCTCATATAATCTGTCATGTCTGTGAGGGCTTGGGAACAGGGAAAGGAATTCATGGTGAGAAGGGAAGAAGATGAATATCCCCCACCCTATTCAAAGATTTGTAATCATATTTATTTGTTAGAAGAAAGGTTCTGTTTAGACTTCTTGCATATTATAACTCAAAATCATAGAATTTTATAACAGCTGAGTTAATAGGTTTTATTTTCTTCAGTTAATTACTAAAAAGCTTATAATTCAGCAATATCAAATTACATCTCCTTCAACGCAAAAGATACTGTTAAGTTAGTTCTGCTGTGTTCAAATGTAATCTCTTCTTCAGAAGAGACCATTGCTATTGGGTTAGGATGAATGAATCCTCTGGACTAAGGGTGCCCCAGGCTTCTGACAATTTGATGTGGCATTGTTATCTACAGTGTGATAGCTGCATTCACAGCTATGCTGGGCTATGCTCAGCTGTGCGCAACTTGTTGTACACACCTATGAGTTTGGACTTTGTTTATGTAGACATACACATATGCTGGCTAGGTATTTCATATAATTTATCCATATATTGTTGGCTATATTTCAAGAAAGTACTCTCCTCCTCTGGATTTCCCATTTTACAACTCTAGTTAAAATTAATTCTATTTTACTATTTCTATCTCAAGCACAACTGTTTAGGAAATGAATTTTTATCTCAGCCTCTGTGAATCTGTTTGTTTTCTCCTTCATCAAACTTCATTTCTTAGTTCCTCCTCTCCCGTCACTAAGCATCTCTTCTCTCTTCACATCTTTCACACTTAATCAGTGGGTTGCTCATAGTAATCTTATGTGAGTCTTTGGTACCAATTATAAAGCAAAACTTTTGTCCGAGTTAAAATTTCTAGTGCCACCTCAGCAGTGGGGACAGTGATGGAATATTTTAGGTCACATGTGACTCTTTTTTTTTTTTTTGTCATGAAGAATCACTCATTGTATTTGACTAATTCTGTTAGACTTTGGAGTTAGATCCACCACAGGTTATTTCAGAAGGAAAAAGTGCACATTTAGAATATACTTCACATTTGAAGATGGAACCAGTTGTTAGAGTTCCAGTTTAGAAGCTGGAATTCTGGGCTTCCCTATTTATCCAGGATGGAGGCTAAGCAAGAGGTACATACATTTCTAATGTAAAGGTAGTTGTGAGAATACACATAAACACATGTGACTGCTACTGCTGTGTTGTGTAAATGGCTGAAACACAGACATAGAGTGTACTGCTCCTAAAACAATCAAACATTGCAGAAGGGAAGATGCCAACACATCACAGCATTATCACACACCAAAGGACTTCTGGGTCCCCTAGCTCTGGTCTCTTTATTTTGGATTGTTACTTTTTATTATAGTTTATGTATTGTTTTAAAATTATGTGCATGTCTATGCAAATGAGTGCAGATGTCACCAGAGTCCAGAAGAGGGTGACAAGTCCCCTGGAGTTAGAATTACAGATGGTTATGAGCTGCTTGACATGGTCACTGGGAACCAAATTTGGGTCCAATGCAAGAGCAGTATATGCTCTTAACCACTGAGCCATCTCTTTGGTCTCTTCTGTAGTCATTTTCAGTACCAAACATAAAGCACTTTTTGTTCCTATCAATATACACATAGTTTTCAAATTTATCGGCCGGGTGCTGCATTATGGCCTTGAAACTAGATATACAATTATGTACCAAGTCCAATGTTTAATAACTTACTGGGTTTAATAAGGCATGTCTTTGGGTTTCTATTGTTGTGAAGAGACACTATGACCACTGCAACTCTTATAAGGAAAACATTTAATTGAGGTGGCAGCTTATAGTTGAGAAGTTCAGTCCATTATCATCATGTTTGGGAGCAATGGTGGCATGCAGGCCGACATGGTGCTGGCTACATCTTGATCAGAAGGGAAATAACACTGTGACACTGGGAAGTATCTTGAGCATAGGAAACCTCAAAGTCCATCTCCAGGGACCCAGTTCCTCCAACAAGGCTATACCTACTCCAAAAAAGTCATACCTCCTAATAGTGCCACTCCCTATGAGCTTATGGGTGTCAATTACATCCAAACTACCACAGCATGTTAGAATACTCATTTAGGGGGGTAAGGCCATTGAGGTAGCTTATTTCATCGCCTGCTTAAGTAGCTATTTCAGAATTCACAGTGGGACAGTGTTAACTGCAAAAACTTTCTTGCTATACTCTCCAGCCCCTTTCTTTGTTCCTTTGTCTGTCAACTTTGCATAGATTATTTTACAAGAAGTTTTGCATAATAGTTTGGAGTCTGAGTCTTAGTGTCATATTAAAAAAAGTAGAACATAAGCTATAAAACCATCCATAAATACATTATGTTTTGCCAAATGCAATTTGCCATTTTAGATTTTTACCATCCTCAACTCAAATACTGCTGATAGGAATTGTCTTTTCACCACACTGAAACAGCTACAAGGTAAAACACTGATCAATAGCAAAAACTATATAGAGGCAGAAGATATGTTGTAGAGGTACAATTACTTGTCTGGCATGTATAGCCCTTGGGCTCCATCCTTGGTACCACAGAAAAAGAAATGGGGGAAAGGAAGTCACTTAAATGATTGACACTATACACTCACTATTCTCAAACTCTTGGCTGTGAGCTCCTTTGAAGGATTACATAAAGCAGTTCTGTGTGTTTAATATCCTGCAAGGTCTTGAAAGAGGAATTAAAAATTTCTTATTCTGACTATCCAGTTATCATATCATTTTCAAAAAATATGAAGCACTGTCATAATTTGAATTCCTAGCATCCTTCTGTTGCTACAGAATTAATTTTCTTCACATAACTTTCCTGTAAAGTAAGACATCTATATGCTGGTAATTTGTATGCACATTTTATATCACATTTAATGAAAATGTAGAGATTCCAGAGTGACAAATTCCTTGTTTGATTTGGTAATTGACATAGTCTATCTTGAAACTTCAGCTCATTGAAACCAAACTTATTGTTATAAGCTAAGATTGTTTTTTCTTTTTGCCTCAACCCTGCTTTGTTATAGGAATTTGCTACTTTGCAGATTATAAAAAGAATCATAAGATTGTTGGATACATTCATGCTTAGAAACTACATATTAGGAAGTCTACTTGAAAACAACTCTGTAGGATAAATAGCATTTAAAGCAAGGAAGCTTTTACTTTTAATGTGATCCGTATTGTTTATACAATGAAGTTATGTTGTGGGGACTATATTACAGCATTGAAATTCCAGGCTTTTATACAGCTCACATACCAAGGCTTTGTTTTAACCCTCCACAGTAATGCAGCAGGTGTCCATGTTTTAGGGCACTGGTGTCTCAAAAATAGAAAAAAGATCTGTGTTGATTACAGTTTCTCATGTTGAAATTATCTTCAAGGAAGTGATCTTGGCTTCTCAGAATATGTCACTGATGACATTGTTAGGCCTGTCATCACTTCATAGCCAGGCTTCCCTCATGCTTACCCACCTGAACACCAGCTAGATTTTATTTATTTACTTTCTTAATTTTCCCCAGAAGAATGCTGTTTTAAGGACTTAAGCATTTGAACAGTAGCATAAATCCTCTCTGCCTGGAAATTAAGTTAGCAATGACATTCTCCATTTGTCTTTTAGAGTATCCGGGCATCCGGCCTCATCCTGTTGGAAACAATACTCTTTGGGTCTCTGCTCCTATACTTTCCGGTAAGTGGCAACCTGCTTTATTTTGATTTTTCCTATTGTATATATACTGCATATTACCAAGGAGTTGATATATATTTAAATCTGACTCTTATAATTGGAGTTACCTTGGCTATTTATCTATCATTTCTAAATCTTGTAGGGTTTTTCTTGTAAATTAGTTGTATTTTTCTTCCTAGTTTGGTGAAAAGGGTCAAATATTTAGGTAATGTAGCATAAGAAGGTCACATTTAGTGTATATGTTTAACATATGCAAAAGTATTACTTTCATTCTTCCTTCTCCCTTATATAAATCAGAACTGCAAACATGCCAACAAGGTAATGCTAGAAATTTTCCTATGACAAAAGTATAAAGAAAAATAAATTAAATGAAATGTATGTGTGGTACTGCTCTTACATAATTGTAGCAGACTTATTGTAGTACAGAGTCTGCAATGATAAACACAAATTGCTAATTCAATTCAACTATTGGTGTTGTGAAGTTATCATGTGCTAAGCATGGAGGAAATTTCTGGGAATACTCTTGATTTCTTCTCTAAAGAGGCTCATGATTTACAGAAAGAAATGAGTCACTACAGACCCCTGTGATTCAGTATGATAAGACTTGGAGTACTGACAGCAGCAAGCCATTGGGACACTTAGGAAAGACTTACAGTCAAATCTAGGAAATGCAGTATCAGTAGAGCTGAAATCTGAAAGCTGAGATGGTGTCAGATGAAAAGGCAGGGTTGGCCCACATCATTTTTCTTTCTTCTTGTTTCTCTTGCTGATCTCTCTCTCTCTCTCTCTCTCTCTCTTCCCCCCCCCCTCCCCCCCCTCCCCCCCTCCACCCACCCCGGCCCCTTCTCTCCAATAACCAAGTACCTCAGGATTCCATCCTTAGAGTTTTTCCTAGTGTATAGCATCACTAACTATCTAATCTAGCAACACAGTTTGAAATGGTACTGCTTATATGCCAATGGCTGCTACACTTGTATCTCCAGACATGACCTTTCTCCTCATCTCCATACTCATATTCAATAGGTTACTTTCACTTCCATTGGGGTCACAAGAAAATTCCATAGCTGAGGTTCTGATGTTTCCCAACACTCAATCTCTTCAATCTCTACCCAAGGCTACTTGATCCTTCTCATTACTGGGGTCAAAACACTACAAATGACTCTTGACACATCTTCTTCTCTCACACTAGCCAGCCAAGCTTTTAAAATGCAGCAGGAATGCAACTAGGTTCCACTATGCTGACTGCTACCACCCGGGTCTTACCCAAGAGTTATCATTGCTGGATTATTATGAGAGTCTGTCAGAGGCCTCTCTTAGATTCTGCCCCTCACAATCTATTTTCAGAACATTAACTACTTTTAGCACTTCAGTTAGACTGGCCATGTTACTCTTCTCAAACCTTGTAAAATGTTCCCCAATAAAAGCAAACTCCTTACAGTAAATTAGAAAACATTAGAAAGCCGCATGTAATATGGGTTTTATGTCCTTTCCATTACTATTTTATTCCTCTCTTCTCAGTCAGTTTAGAGCAAGTGTTCTTGATCTATTTAGTTATTGAATCACATTTTCTGTTTCCTTCAAAATCCAAATGTATCCAGATAAAATCAGTGTTGTGATCAAATGTGTCCCCCAGACTCACGTGTTAGAAGCAAACCCCAGTGCAACTGTGTTGGGAGGTAGAACTTTCTCAAAGGGCTGTGCTCCCATACATGGACTGAAGAGCTAGATGGAGGAAATTCTCTTCCTTTTGTCTTTCTGTCTTCTACTGCTGGAGTTTCTACTGCTGTAACAAAAAATGATCAAAATCAACCTGGGAGGAAAGGGTTTGATTCATTTATACTTCTACACCACAGTCCATTATGGGAGGAACTCAAAGCAGAAAACCCGAGGTAGGAACTGATGCAAAAGCCATGAAGAAATGCTGTTTACTGGCTTGTTGTTAATGGTTTCTCAGTCTGCTTCCTTAGAATGTCTGGACCATCTGTCCAGAGGTAGCACAACCCACAATGAGCTGGACACTCTCACAGAAATCAGTAATCAAGAAAATGCCTGGCAGGCTTGCCTACAAGTCAATCAGTGAGGGCATTTTCTCAATTGAGGTTCCTTTTTCCCAAATGACTCTAGCTTGTGTCAAGTTGGCATGACACTAGCTGGCAATTTGCCATATTTTACTTATAAATCATCCAGTCTCAGGTATTTTGTCACAGTATCTCAAAGGAACTGAGGAAAACAGATTTTATTTCCCCACGGAAATCATCTATATTAACGTTTCTAATGTACATAGTAGTATGTGTTGCAACTAATAAAGAAATAGCATAGAGTTTACAGACTGGATATTTCTCATTCCTTGCAGTTGCCTCTATGTTTGGTATGTTATGCACCCTAATATTTAATTTTACCATAGAACTACCAGGCAGGTATTTGAACAGAATCACAGAATGACCTAATAAGCCAGTGAAAGATTCAAAATGACCTGACTAATCTGAAGATTTATCTTAAAAATGTGAATATATTTTGCATTATCTGTTTGTTTGGTTTTTTTTGCATTAACCTCTGTTGTGTTTAAACCCATTATCTACCCAGTTATTAATAGGCCTTTAAAAATATCAGTTCTAATCTGTTGCCCTACTGGTGTCTCATCAGTCTTCATAGAAGAAAGTTAAAACTCTTGTCCTGGCTTTTGATGTGGTCTTTGCCTGCCTCTTCTGTCTCACTATGCACTATTTCTTCCTCCCTTTCTAATCTCCAGCTATATGACCTTCTTTCTGTTCTCAAATAAATGCAAACCCTCTCTTCTACACCCAGTTTCTGTCCTGTTGCAATGGTTTGCAAAGAGAATACTTGGTGGTATTAAAAATCATAGCCCCTTTATTATTTGTTTCTAGTGCCTATAGATAACTCATTCTATGATATGGGCAAAAGTTTGGCTCATTTTTATTAATAAGATGCATATTTCTGAGCATTACCAATAATCTATAGAAGAGTTGTAAAGTGTATTTCAGAGAAGAACTGTTATAGAACATTTGAAACAACAATGTCAGGTTGTTAAATATTGAATGAAATGATTTGGGGTCATTGAGTAAAACACATGTCTGAAAATCATCTGATGGCCAGATGGTGACATTAGGTACAGAGAGATAGGAGAAACACTTGATAGTTAAAAATATAAAGACAACACTTTTCCATAATCTTCCATAAGAAGGGAAATTGATCATGAAAACTCTCCACCAGAGTAACCAATGTGGCTCACCCTGCTGGTTTCATCCTTAGCTGCCTCTTTCACCTTTTATAACCTAATTAATTTTTGTAACTCCTCGAGATCCAAGTTTATTCCCTGTATCTCGATCCTTAAGTTAGTGTCTGTTCTAGTTTTCTCTCTATTACTGTGATAAAACACTGACCAAAACCATGTTGAGGAGGAAATTATTTGTTTGGCTTACAAGTTATAGTCTGTCATCAAGGGAAGAAAGGCAGGAACTCCAGGCAGGAACCTGGAAGTAGGAACTGAGGCAGAGGCCATGGTGAAATGCTTCTTAGTGGCTTGCTTCTTCTGGCCTATGTTGTTACCTTTCTTCTACAGCTCAGGCCCACTTGCCTGGGAATGGTACCACCCATAGTGGGCTGGGCCCTCTTACATCAATTAGCAATCAAGAAAATGCCCCACAGACATGCCTTCATGATGCTCTGAGGAGGGAATTTTCAACCAAGGGTTACTCTTTTCCTGTATGTCAAGTTGATAACTGAAGCTAACTATGATGGAGTTCATATTCTGAAGACAGATGGGATCAAATTATTTAAGATGGATAAAACTAAGACGTCTAGCATAAGATTCTGGAGACAATGGAGATTAAATGAATAATTGATAGAGTCTAGAAAGGAGAATCATTTTACTCTACACAATAGATCAGGAAGTACTATTTTGGTAACTGATAGTGAAGTCCTTTGTGGGAGTAGATGCATGCCTGGATGTACATGTAGGAAAAAAATCTTGGTAAGAGTGATCTAGTCACTGGTGCAAAGTGACTTGGGTTGCTTAGAATTTGCAGATAAGAAGTTTAGGACTTTTAGATAGAGTTTTGCTTGTTTTGAATTCAATGTTAAAATAATCAGATAAACCAAATAGAGAGTTCATTATCTGGACTAGAAGTGTTTCAGATATTAGAATATAGCCATAGAATATACTAACTGAGCACCCCTAATCTGAAAATAAAAAAGCTATAAGGCTCTAAATTAAGAAACCAGGTTTGGATTGGGGATTTTCAGCTTGTATAGTCAAAAGGTCTAGTTGATATAAATGTGACCAAAACCTCTCCTGCTTTTAAATATCTTGCCTGCTTTCTGAGCGCCTGCTGTGGACCATACCAGAACTACATGAGAAATTTGCTGGGAATTACAGCTTTTTAAAGTACACTTGAATAAAATAGACTGTTTCTAGGGCTGGGTTCTTCCATAGAAGGAGACTGGGCTGTTCCCTGCTTCCCTGTGTTATGCAATGAACTTTATATTCTCTTTATGCTGCATATTGTTGTCCAGATTTGCAAGAATTAAGGTTATTTTTTGCCATTTCTAAGCAATCTTGGACTACAGACGATTTCATAACAATGCTTACATTGGAAAGTCCAAATTAGGCATTATCATCATTGTGCAGACGAGGACAAACTGAAATCTGACTAAAGTTAGCATCGTTATAATTGGTAGCTCGAGCTGCAGCTTTTGACGCCTTTTCTTACAGATTCTCAAAAGAATCTTAGGGTTTGAGGCCCATGCATTGTGAGCAAATGATTTATCACCCATGATCACCCAAATACTTTTTGTATAACTATAAAATAAATGAATCAAACTTCCAAAAAAGAAAAGAGAGAAAAAAAACAACTAAAGCATATGTTTCTTGTTAAATTGCACCAAAGGGCATTTTCAATTTATAAAACTTGTGATTGATAATGCAAGTCTAGAAGTTTGTTTTGCTATGACAAATGCATCCATTTCAGTTGAGTGTAGCTTCT